GGACGCGCGATCCCCCCTCCGCCGCGGGGTGCTGTAGCCGCGCACGTGGAAGGTGCTGAACTTCCAAGAATTTGAGTCAAAACGTGCTGGCTTTAAATTCGGTGATCTTTAATCGTGAATGAATGGTAAGACTTGAATAGTCCTGGAATGAGACTTTACGTCGAGGAGGCGCATCACGTTAACGTTTCGGAGGTGTTCGTGGTGCTCACGCTGCAGTATTGGTAAACAGGATGAATGTACGAGGGGAACGCTTTGATAACAAAGGTTTTGGCTAGTGATTATTTTAGTTTTGAAGTTGGACAAGATAAGCTAAGTGGATAGGCTCTACGTTTACTTTTTAGATAGCCTGAGCCAGTGATTTTCAATGAGGGGGTAGATCCTTGTATAGAACGTTTAATCCCTTTGTAACCGGCTGGTTTATCTTGTAAGCTTAATATTGTAAGCAGGTTTTGTAAGCTGGACAATTTAAAAAGCTTTAAAGAAAATGGTTTTTGTATGAGCAGTGGGGCGTCACATTATCATCAGCCAGAGTTTTGACAACAGTTTGACAACATGAAAGCTGGCTGTTTTCTTTTTATGCCAAAAGTTATTAAGCAAAAAGCTATTCAGCATAACCCAAAGCCTTAGAAGACAAAATCCATTTTTGGTCAAGTAGCGCCACTCTGTGGCCCGTTCAGGAAAATGAAACTTTCCTGCACCTGGCTGTGTTGGAAGAGATGCTGAAATCTGAGCGTCTCATTTTCTCAACTGTTTAAATAGGCAGAAAAAGTCGTTTATCTTGTCCTGATACCAGAAGCCAACAAATTCTGAAAGCATTAGATGTGATTTGAAGACTGAAGTGTTTGCATTCAACAAGCTTCACTTATCTGAATATGCACTTTCTAAGTAGTTTCAAATCTTCTTGATTTTTTTGTTTCAAAATGAAGCCACTTTTTAATAAATATTTGCTAGCTAATCATCCTATGTTATATTAGCATATAACATCCTGAGCCACATTATTATGAACACCTGCACTCTGTATGTAGCTAAAATGTGGAATATGCAGTATTTTTCCATAGTTTTGGAGCATGCTACACTATCTTGTAGGTCACTGTACTTAGTTACTTATATATTCTAATGCAAATATTACATATTAAGAAGTGTGTATACCCAAAATAGATGTGTTTACAGAAATTTTTCCGTGCATCTCATAGTGGGACTAATGCAGCGACTATCCTTGCCACCTGGAAGGCTCTCATTTCGGATCGCATAGTATCCCCTGAAAACAAACAAAAAAAGCTTTTTATAAATACGTGTTTGTAAGTTGAAAATCTTTATTGCAGGCATATTAAAATCAGCTCAGTTTCCTTCTGACCTTCTACATTTGCTCCTAACCAGCGTTTGCATTGTTAAATAGTGTGAACAAAAGCTTGTAAAGGAATTGGTGAAGGTTTTGTCTGCTAACATATGCCAGCATACAAATTGACTAGGTTTAAAGAAACATGTGGATGATTGGAAGCATGCATATTTCTCTTTTTTATTTAATTCTATGTGAAATAAAAGTATAGTCATCATTTTCAACGTACTTGAGAGGACAGAACAAATTGCATCAAGGTAAAGAAGTGACCCTTGACTCTTCCCCTACTGTTCTAGAGTCAGAGTTCTTGTCCCTTTTCTTTTTTTTTTTCCTCTCCCTTTTCTACCTTTTATAACAAAAGAGAACAAGATGGTTGAGAAGATCTAAAATAGCATGTAGAGCTATCTGTAGTATGTCTAGGCCATTAGCTTACATTGAAGGCTGGACTGGTTAGGCTTTTAATTGCCTTAAGATTCCATAACATGTAAGATATAGCATTTTTAAAATACTTTTAATATATAAATGTGTTGATATGCATCAATAGTACAAATAATCACAGTTTAGCTCTCTGTCTAAATAACTCCTCTGACAGAAAGGTCAAGGTCTGAATGCATAGGAACAAGAATCCAAGAACAAGGTAGGCCATCTTTCTTTAGAAGTAGTTGGCAAGAGCATCAAGTGGGCTTCTGTTCATAAAACTCCTTATTTAATGGTGGAAAACACATTTTTTACTTGTAGAGCTGTTGAGCAGTTTATGAAATTCTATTCATAGTGAAAAAAATGCCAAAACATTGTTTAATCATATACATTTTGATAAGAATATTTTTAATACCTGCCTTTACTGCCTTGGGAAGGTATCTGCTTTTTTTCCTGTTTTGTTTTGTTTTTCCCTTCAAAGAAAAATTATTAAAGCACCAAATTTGATTAACAATGTAGAATAAATAATACTGCATAGAAGTAAAACATATGTTCTGCCGGACCATTTTTCTCCTTTCATTTTACTCTTCCACTCTAGCATTATTCTGACACGTGCTATAAATCAGAGCATAGCTATCGCTTTTCTTTCCTTTTATTTTTTTTTAAATCTTCTGACTATTAAAATGATTAATCTTATTTTTAATAATGTAACTGCACTTTCTTATTCTGACTTATTCCCCAAGCACTCATCTGTTCACAGCACAAAAAGAATTAAATAGTTTAAGTGATAAGATTTAAGGATTGCTGTTCTGCCAGACACTTGTACTCATGTTTTTCCATTTTGGTTGTGAATTTTGATGCGGAGTTTTCCTGTAATGCTTGTTTCCAAGGAGCAAGCAACCTGTTCATGGTATAGTAATTTCTGAAATGCATTACACAGACCTCAGTCTACCTCTTATAAGAAAGGGGTGCAAGATGCTCATGTGCTGTATTGGCAGTATGTTGATGTAGGAACACAAGTGTAAAATTTCCCAATATAAATCTAGCTGAAGACATGCATTGCTTTGATTACTCATTTGGTGCTTTAAAACTAAAAGATGCTGCTGGAGAGAGAAGAAAGGAAGAGGAAATCATTTCCAACGTGCGTGAGACTGCCAAATACTTACCAATTAAAGTATGGGTTGAGTTACCCAGATCTCCATGGTATTTTCATTCTAACGGGCCTGTAATTTAGACCTGTAAAAATCATGTCCTTTTGAGAAATTATTTAAAAAGGGGATAATTTATTTTCAGATTGAGCTATTTCATTATGACTGGTCATCCTAACTATTTGAAGTTTTTCACCTCGTTGCCTGGTTGAATCTTATTCAGAAAGAGGGCTTGAAAAACCACTTGAGCTCTGAATCTCTCAGAAAAATGTTGTAACTGCGGGAGCAGTAACTTACAAAAAGAACGTGGAAATTAATAAAGTATGCCTACCAGGACCAGTGCTGCAGAGAGATCAGTGTTGACTCTGAAAAAGCTATCCTGGATAATGCAAACAGAATACTTCATCAGCGTAGGCCACATAGCTTTGATGAGGACTACTGTGTTTATTAGCCCAAGCAGAAACGTCTCTTAACAAAGCTATGCTGCCTCTTACGTTGTAATGTTTATCTCTGTGCAGCACAGTACACTATGTATGTCTACCCTCAAGCAATTTAAAACTTCATACTTTTCAAGCTGTGCAGGATTCGTCCAAGGCATCGTTACCAGAACGAGGAGACTGGCCATATTATTAGCTAGGTGTAAAGTTTATGTTTAATTTGTAGTCTCTTAACGTATATGGTTTGATCTCAAGCAGCTCATTTTAAGCGCTGTTTGCCAGGGCTCTACTGAAAGGGGCTTTTGTGAAGTGATGTTGCACCCCATTTCAAATAGATTGAGTGCATTGCACTTACTGAACTACAAAGTTCTGTCATCGCCCACAGTCAAAATCACTGAGACAAAATCACTGTGTGTGGGGCGTGGTCCTATTTATAAAGGGTGGAAATCAGGTCATTGTCTCTTTTGTTTACTGATCTGTTTAAACTTTGGTTTCCATGAATACTCATACTTGAGATTTTGAAATTTGCTGGTTTTGTTAGCATTTTTTTGCATATAAAAAGCAACAGCATGAATGTCAGCAGAAGGAGAGCCCTAAATGCCATGATTTTAGTTCACTTTGATTTTGACTTTTGGGGTTTGTTCAAACATACAGTCATGTGAATGTGAACTATTACTCTTGAAACTGAAAAACAACATTTTTGTATGACCTCTTGTGAACCCAGGCTGTCTGTTTCTTCCCACTTTAGTGCTAACAATAGATACTGCTTAGAGTTGCCTTTGCTTCCCTGTTTAGTCCTGCCTACAGCATTATCTTTATCTTCTGTTATGAATTGCCTCTGTACTTGAATCTTTGCATCACTGTGTTGCTTCTTGCTGTTTGGATTTTACTTCTCTGTGATGATAACGTTAAGATAGAAAACAATTTATTCATTTCCTTTTCCATGGCGGAAATATCTGCTTCACTCTGGAAGCAAAGTAATGACATTTACAAATAACACTGGAGGTGCAAGTCAGTACATCTCCAGACCTTGGCTAAATTTTCCTGTTAGAAATGGTGTCCTACTGGGCCCGCATCAGAAGTTTACTTGTGGTAGTCAAGGTTTAGAGGTAAAGAAATGTTTTAGTGGTCAAAATACTTCAATTTGGCTCAAATGAATCTATATGCTACATAAAACAAGCTATTAAAAATAAAAGGAACAGAAACTGACTTATGTATTTATACCACAAAACATGAATTAGTTAAATATTTCTGGTATAACAAAAAGGAACATGATGAGAATCTTTTGTCCTAAGGGGAAAAGAACATGTGTATTGTAATTGTTTTTAAAATTTTCTGCCACCATTCCGCTATTTATGGCTTTGATTTGGATGACCTTACCCTGGCAGTGTATTTATGTTAGACATCACAGGCTACAGAAAATATTTTATACATCTGAAGACCCTGGCAACTGCTCTAATTTGAGATGTTAAATATTTCCATATTTCTTTGTCACTACTGATTAGTAAATTAGCATTGCTCAGTTGGTAGCTTTTCTTCAAACTGTGTGAGAGAAATGGCATGCCATTATAATGTTGAGGAGTCAGGGAACAGAGAGAGCATAAATAAAGTGATAAATTTGCTATACACAAATGTTAAAATGGTCCTTGCAGTATACAATGCATTTGCTAGTCCAAAATGAAAAGCTAGAACAGCAACACCCCAACTGCTCCTGGGGACCAGCCAAAATCCTGCAGTTACTGCACGAGAGGAAAGAAAAAAAATCCTTTCGTAAGGAATTATGAACGAAAGGCCCCTTTCTGACACCTGGACATCTTGCTACAGAAAGGTATGGATCATTCGTTCCTTGAATGCTGGTTCTGGGCAGAAATAACTTCCTTGGTGAACTAACTTTTAAAGTGTCGATGCACGTCCTCCCTCCTGTCCGCTCTTTTCAGTGTGACGGAACGATACAGAGTGAGCCAGTTTTCTCCCAAGTTTGACACCTGCAAAAAGGAGAGCTGCGTGGAAGCAAGGGTGAGTGAGGGCTTGCGGGGAAGGAGGCAGGATATCTGCCTGTGGGAAGAGTATTCAGTGCTCTGATACAAGAGTGCTGCTGTTACTGGCTTGTGTATGTGTTGTTCATATAGAAAACTGGGCAGCTTCCACAAGGGGGTGTGTATACTCCCTTCTTAGCGAAAGGAGCTGCTGAAAGCACTGCTGAATTGTATTTCGTTATATGTAAAGAACTTTTGACCAAGGTTCCCTTTGGCATAAAATATGCTTAAAATGTATCATTTGTGTTCATCAAGAAAATGATAGTGCTACTTTCCTTCCTCCTTCAACAATGTCCCTGACAGCACAAGGTGTTTTCAGTAATATGTGCAGAACTAATTAGAAGGTAGGGATCTGTTATTAAGATCACCAGGCCACGTGCGTTGTCATTATTTAAACTTCCAGGAACCTACCTAGGAAGAAGCAGATATATAAAAGAACATACAGAGTCATCCTGATCCGTACAGTCTGTTCATGTCTGACGCGGTTCCTAAGACAATGTGTTGTTTGATATTGGTAGGAATTGCTGAGGCATAAGTAATATTAAATAAATACAGCAATTTCAAGTTTTTTTTTTTAAACGCTCCAACTCTTTAGCTAGTGCTTTCACATGGAAAGTGAAAGCCTGATTATCTTTGAGCAACCTTAAACTGATAGTAGCTATAGGAAACATGAAATGAAAGGTAGAACAAAATTAGCATTACAAAAACTAATGGGTTATATTCAATAAAAGAAAAAGCTGACGGATTTAGTTCTTATTGCAGGGTACTCCATTGATGTCAGTGGACTTATATTTGTGTAAAATGATAATCATATAAGGCTATGCATTTAGCTCCATTTTACATAGTCTTTTGACATACAGAACTGTTCTCTGTCTTACAGGTGTCATGTGAGGATGTAAGTCTCTATGGAGAACAATCACTAAATCTACAAACTACTTTTTAATTTCAGTTGATCCTGGCAGCAGTCGTTGGCAAAACTTAAAGCAATCGTGTTCTCTTATACAAGACTAATTAGGATCATCTTGTAGTGATTTCCCATGATGTAGCAGGGTAAGTGCATGATTCAGTAGAGTCAAATTTAAGATTAAAAAATTCTGAATGGAGATAGTCTTGCAGGAATACAAATATGCTCTTAAGGCAATACTGCAAGCTTTTATGTCAATAAAACATTAGTGAATGCATAAGATAAGAAATACCAAAGACTTGGTTAAATTAACAGCAAAGTTTTAAGTAGTGATCTTGGCCACTTGCACATTGTATAACTTTGGAGAACTGAGGATATATTCAGAGAGGAGAAAAGTGAATTAACCTTGGAGACGAGCTAGATCCGAATACTGGCTGTAAGGAGAGAGAAAAGTTTGCCTCTTAGCGACTGGATGGAGGAATAAGTGGCATTCTTCTGATTCTTTCAAACTCAGGGCATGAAGAAAGAAAGAATCAAATCTGACCATGTGGTTCTGGTTGATAAGGAATGCAACAGCATTATCAACACAGAGAAGGAAGCGTTGGAATAATATTCTTTTTTTTTCCTCCTCTTCCCTTTTCTTCCATTGTTTTGCTCCTCTCAATTCCATTTTACTTACTTCTTGCTACCTCTGAAGTTGTTTTCTTTACTCATTTTGTTTCTTTTTCCAAATTCCTTTATTTCATAGCATCAGTCAAAGCTGATCAAAGAGTTGCTCAGACAGGCACTTCAGACAGAACTCTACTGTTGCATGTATTTTCGCTCTATGAGTTCCAGATACTTACTGAGCATAATACATATTCCTGTTACTTTTATTCATTACTTTTGTAACCACTGCCCTCTTCTCCTTTCCTCTTGCGCTTATTTGTTATGCCTTATCTAAAGTTTAGAGCACAATAAATGTGAAGGAGGACAGTGCATTAAACTGTTCCGAAAGGTATCTTGAAAGTCCTGTGGTCCCTTACGTTCCTTTTATAAATATGTCTCATGTGGGAGTGCATTTATTTATACCATTATTTTTGTAGCTTGTGTCCTCTGCTGGCTGCATCTCACTTGGTATGAAGCATGAAAGTGACCAAGAGCGACAATGAAATGTATGATTTAGGAGTGGCCTTTTGCAAGTTGCAGGTACATCCCATGGTTGGGTAAAGTTTGGCTAGGTTTTTTTCTTAACATGATTACGTACTTTCCTGCTTTCAGTAAAAGTCTTTCTGATATACAGCCTGCACTGAATTATAATTTTAAAAGCTGTTCCCCCCCCAAAAAAAAATTTTTTTGAGGTCTTGCCAAGAAAAAAGAAAAAATTAAGAAGAAAGTGAACAAACTGAATATGTATGTATGTTAAAGAAGAAATGATCACAACATAGAGTGTGCTGGATTCTTCTTTCTGTATATAATTAGGAAACGCAAAGCCTTGACCTGTGAAAGAAAGTGTTAGGAATACCCCTGGCCATTATTAACTTCTAACGTGAGCTGATCAAAGTACTGAGCTTCAGTCTGTAAAACCATGAAAGAGGTTTCTGTTCCTATCAGCAGAAAAGTATTCTGGAAGGCTGGAAGCATCTGTTCGCAAAAGTTTTTGCCTGTTGTATTTCATGTTATTGGGAATTCTGCACAATTCTAGTTAAACTTGGAAAGCTGGTGGACATCTTTGTTGCTTTAATAACTTTTGATGCTCCTGTAAAAGGTATATATTTGTATACCAGCTTAGCAAGCATGATTTACTACTAACAGTCGCTGTTCTCGTTATTTCACATATCCTGGCATGGACCAGTCACTGGTTCTGTTATCCTCCGTACAGTTGGTGAAGTGGTAATCCTGGCAAAGGCCATCTGCAGTCCTGCGGGAGCTAGAATTGCTGAACTTCCTGAAAGCTTTTCAAAGACAAATATGCCCAAAATAAACTGGAAGATTTGTCTTCGTGCAGTAAAAAAGATGATATTTAACTACGGTATCTTTCTCACTTAAATGACAGATAAACCCAATAATAATAATGCGCTTATAGTGTTCAGCTGTGTTTACCTCAAAGCACATTCAAGATTAACTAGAGGGGCCTCAACAGCTCTGGAAGGCAGCTGTTTGTGTGTGTGCCTGACAAGTGGAGAAATTGAAATAGAGTGAGCAGCTACCTGATCTAAGTTCACCATAATTTTTTTTCCAG